GATCTGATTTGATGGTACACACACACAAAAAAATAATTTAAAAAATAAAATAAAAATAGCTGGAACACTGAATGCTCAGAGCATGAATGTTGGAGACCTTTGAGCTCAGGTTTTGGGGAAGAGTACTGAATAGCGCATGGACTGTCAAAAGAACAGACAGATATATACATCCTAGAGAAGGTGCAGCCAGAGTGCTCCTTGCAGGCAAAGATGACAAAGTTTCATCTCACATATTTTGGGTATGTTGCTAGGAGAAGAAGCTAGTCCTAGGAGAAGGACATCATGGTTAGACAAGTGAAAGGTTGGTGAAAGAGAGGAAGTCCCTGCCAGATGGATTGACATAGTGACTCAATCGACTCAAGTACGTCAGAGACAGTGAAGATGGCACAGAATAGGGCAGGGTTCTGATTTGTTGTGCAGAGGATCGCTACTGGTTGTACTCAACGCAGTAACACCAAACAAGCCCACCATGGGTGACTGAGTTGTCTGTAGATACCATTCTACATACACTTCACTCCTCCACCACCACCATCACTCCACCCCAGTCCTGGAGAGAATATTCAAGGGGGGTGGGGAACAGACACGCCAAACCAGCTGCATCCATATGCATAGGAGGTCAGCTTGCTAAACCCTGGGAATGTGATAAATGTTGGAGCCTCTCTGAGACCTGACTCACAGGTACTGTGAATTAGAAAGGGCCTGGCCCATCAGTCACCTCCTGCAGTCCCTTCCCTCCTCTTCCTCACCTCCACCCTGCAGCTAAGAGCAGGCTGGGCAAGAAATGCCACTGGTGGTGTGTAAAGACTTCGATGCAAATGCCAAGCTGGAGTCCTGTCTGATTTACAAGTAAATGTCTTCTCTGCCTCCCTCATCTCAGACACCACACGTCCCAGGGACCTTTGTCACCAATCCTCAGCCTATAAATTCCTTGGTCAGGGTAAAAGGGGGGGTGGACGAGTAACCCAAGAAAATAACTAAAGTGGATAAAAACCCCCAGAGGAGACTTACCCTCCACTCTCCTGAGGGACATGGACTTAATCTGCAAAAAAAAATGGAAAGGGCGGGTTACAGGCAGCAGGGGACACTGTCAGAATGCGGAGTAGTGGGTCTGCTTAGGACAGTGACGAGGGGACACTTGGTTTCCATGGCACCCACCGGGACGCAGAGGAGCTCTGGATGTTTCACTCCACTCCACCACACCCCTCCTGCTGTCCGCGTATGAGAAGGGAGGGACCAGTGCTGACCACAAGCAGCCAGGAAGCTTCATTCTCCGTCTTCTCCCAGGGAGAGAAACAAGCAGGTCCCTCCTCTGAGGATGTAGCTTGCTGTGTGGGAGCCTCATTCCCAGCACCCAGTGAGTGTCACCGAGAAAATGAATGATTTCCACTCTAATCAGAACCTATCAGAGGCCCGCTCTGTCAGAGCTGAGTGCTCCATGAGGAGGAAGGAGGGTAAACGGCACATGTACTAGGAGGACGGAGACTTTGGCGGGATCGCTGCTCAGTCCCTTTCTCAGGAATTGCCTCTTCCTTCCTCTTCTCACGTGGATGCTGATGGAGCAGCCACCTTGAACACACACACACACACACACACACACACACACACACACACAGCCATCAATGACAGCCCAGAACTAGGCCAAGAATATATATGGGACATTCAGACAACAAATGCTGGTGAGGTTACAGAGAAACTGGAACACTTATTCACTATTGGCGGGAGTGTAAAATGGTACAACTGTTACGGAAGGCTGTATGGAGCTTTCTCAAAAAGTTGTAAATTGAAATACTATTTGACCCAGCAATTCCACTACTGGGAATATACCCCAAAGAAACCGTAACTGCCACCCAGGCAGATAACATGCACACCCATGTTTATTGCGGCTTTTTTCACAATAGCAAAGAGCTGGAAACAACCCAAGTGCCCATCAACAAACTAATGGATAGAGAAGCCGTGGTATATTCACACAATGGAATACTATGCTGCACTGAAAAACAAGGAACTTAGAATCTGCACTGCAATCCCAAAGGTGCATGGTTCGAATCCACCAGAGACTCTGCTGGAGAAGGAGGGGCAAACTCCTCCTGTGCCAGTTGGATCCAATTTGATGGCACACCAAATTAAAAATAATAAAAATAAAGAAAAAAGAAAAAGAAGGAAGGAACTCATGAATTATTCAAAATGGGTGACCCTGGAGGACATTATACTGAGTGAAATATCTCAGTCACAAAAGGACAAATACTGCATAGTGCCACTGACACTGGAGTTGGGGGAATCTAAGAAAAGAGGGGATAAATAATGTATACTGCATTGAAACAGATGAGGGAGAGAACTGTTTAAAAGGAATATATGATTAGGTATTATTTTCATGACAAGATTCCAGAAAAAGAAATGCTTAGTAAGTGGACTGTGGACTTGGGAGGGGATTGTATAACAATGAAAGAATTTTTTTTTTCTTTTCAAAGAGAAAAGTGAACTGAGGGGAAGCAGTAGGCAGGGAGGAAAATGTGCAACAATGAACGGGGGGGAAATTAAATGGGAAGAATATGCTGTAAAAAAATGTTGTGTTAAAAAATATTTAAAATAATATGGGGCATTTAAAGTTAGCGGCAATGAGGAGCCTAAAGGTTTGCTTTCTGAGATGGGTTGTCTGTTTTGCCACGTGGAACAGGGAAGGAGAGGAAGTAAATCTTCCAAGTAAAAAAGGCACCACAAAAGAAAAAGAAGAAAACAAATAAACAGAGACCAAGCAGAGGGAAACTCCCGGCCAATTCCTGTCTCTGGGCCCAGTTTCTTCCTGGGCTCAGCTGCTGTCCTGCGGTAAGTGCCCTGCACATCCTCACAACCAATTCCAGCTTGAGGGGCTTTTGGTTACTTACCGTGTCCCACAGTGAAGATCCCCATTCCATCACGTCCTCGTCCAATGTCCACTCCCAGCTGTTCCCTCCCTTGTCTGCCTCTGCTCCGCCCACAAAACCACTAACACTAAACCAGCTCTCGAGCTCATTTCAACTCAGGGCAACCCTCCACTGGGTTTCTAAGATTATAAATGTTTAAAAAATAAATAAATAAAATAAATGTTTACACAGCCCACCCATCTTGCCTCCTGGGAGCCACTGGTGGACTTGAACCAGCAACCTTCCTGTTAGAAGCCCAATGCGTTACATGTAATGATACCAAAGCTCCTTTTCTCTCTACCCTAGAGACAATACAAGCAATTACTCATTTTTCGCAGCTTTCCTTTTAGGTAAAGTTGTCCCTGGAATACAATCTGACCAATAAAAGACAAGCTAAAGTTTTGGGAAGGGGTCCTTTTTCTCAATCAACTTTTTTCCTCAAACGTGATTGAGGTTCTTGGTGCTTCCGAAAGCAATCTCACAAGTCTGAGAAGCCAAGTGTTAGAACAACAGTAGACGCATGAAAGATGGTGGGGTTAAAAAAAAAAAAGACAGAATGTGGATTCACGCAGCCGAGCCAAAAGGCACCAGGTTCGAATCCACTGGCTGCTCTGCCGGAGATGCTCTGCCATCCCTTCCTGTGCGATTTATAGCCTCTGAGAACCCACTGGAGGGTCCACTGTGAGTCCGTTCTGAGTCAACAGCACATAAAAACAACAATAACAAGCAGAGCCCAGGGCCGGTCTACTTCTTACAATAAAAAAATAAATCCCTATTAGCCTATTCTGTTAATCGATGAAACGGTTTCTTAAATGGACTAACTGCATATCACAATCCCAATCGTAATAGAGGGAGGAAATTTTCCAGCTGGACCTGTGCTAGCCACAGCCGTCAGAGGCTCAAAGAGTTGTGGGGAGAAAAGAAATGAAAAGTAAATCAGCAGAGAAGTGGCTTCGATGTGCTGATGGAGTGACGTGTGGCCAAGAGAACAGAAAGGCCCAGGGTGGGAAGGAAAACAGAGCAGACAGTGACAGCAGGTCCTCAGTCCAGCTCAGCTGTGAGGAGGCTGGTCTGTGAGGTGTGGATGTCAGACCAGGCAAGGGCCTGAGACCGTACAAGGATTCCAAGTAGGGAAAGATTTAACACGTCCACAGACACAGGGCTCACGAGGGGTGGCTGACCTGAGCTGGGCAGAGAATAAGCAGTAATTTTGGGGGGCAGTTTTTTGGTGGGTTTTTTGTGATGATGACGATGATGATGATTAATTTCAATGAACATCTACAGAGATTTTGGAATTCATTCATTCATTGTTGAACTTTTCTCCCCACCCCCACCCCTAGTTCGCTCTTCTTGAAAAGCAAAAGAAAAACTCCTTCATTGATGCACAATCCCCCACCCCCACCCCGCACAGTAATTTTTAAAATGACACAGGAAGCAGTTTCAAGAGGAGGTCACGTAGTGAGCTAAGTCCTTTGAAAGCACCTGAAAACTCCCACTGCCATCAACCAATTCTCACGCCACTGGGTTTCTGAACCTGTACGCCTTTACGGAAGGACACTGCCTTATTTTCCTCCTGTGGAGAAGCTCAGGGACTGGCCAGCACTTAGTTTATTATTTACCCCAGCATTAAACCATCAACAGCACAAGCGAGCCTTGAAAAACCTCCTCAGAGGTTGTTAATTTATGGGAAAAGTTATTGGCTAAGAAATTAAGAGCTGGGAACATGGTGCATACACCCTCAGGCCGCGCATCCCACCTGCCTGGCTGAGACGGAGTCTCACCTCCTCACTTAGGGAGTGTCCTCTGTGACCTTGAGCAAGGCTTGGGAGCTCCTGAACTCCAGCTCGGTCATTTGTCCAGTGAAAACGGGAGATGGTGATGTGCACCGCTAAGGGCTGCAGTCACACCTTCTGAGGTAATAAGGACCCAACTACATACTGAGTGTTTAATATTGTCTCTGACAACAGAGACAACCCAGCCCCCCAGGAAGGCAAACACACATATCTTCAGTGTGGAAGCAGATGAACTCCTAGTGCCAAAGAGCCTAGAAGAATCCACGAAGAGTCCACCTACCATCTCGTCCTGGGAGGCGATGAGCCTGGCCTGCTCGCGGAGCTGGGCACGGAGGGCGTTGATCTGGTGCCTGGTCTGGGCGTCTGCTCTCCGCTGATCCTGGGACAGAGAGGCCTGGAGCCTCTCATTCTCCTCCTGCAGCTGGTGGACACAGGACAGTGGTCAGACATCTGCGGGTGTCTCTTAGCGCCCCGTATCTGCAGGCCCCACGCCTATAAGCAAAGGCTGTTGGGGTTTCCCCTGAAGCAGTGGAGCGGACAGTCAGATCCCAGCAGCTGTCTAACCAAACTGCCTTCAAGTTCTTGGATATGTTGAGATTTGCTTGAAAAGAAACAAAAATTGATGCCCAGACCAGGCCAGAAAGGGCTCGCCAGCAGGGGTGACCGTCCACTTAAGGGTAGCCAGGTAAACTAGAGTCATTAAAACGTCATACAGTGGCTGTTGGTGGGTAAAAAGACATCAAGAAGATTTAAAAACGGTGAGAAAATGAGACAAAAACCAACAGTAAAAATGTTCACCTGTGGTACATTTTCTGAGGACAGGGAGACAGGGACAATATGGGTGATGTCGTTGGGGGTTTTAAAAAATATTTTAAAAAATGTCTCTTATGTTTTGAGGCAGTCATCAGAAACAGAGCAAGGAAACACTGCATGGCTTAAAACTGGGAAGGGTGTACACCAGGGATGTGTCCTATCTCCACACGTTTTCAATCTATATGCACAACAGATTATCCAGGAGGATGGGCTCTATGAGGAGAAATGTGGCATCAGGGTTGGAGGATGATTCATCAATAATCTGCGTTACGCGGATGACACAACCCTGCTTGCTGAAACTGAGGAGGACCTGAAGCGCCTGCTGCAGAGGGTCAAAGACTACAGCCTTCAATATGGATTGAGGCTCAATATCAAGAAAATAAAGATTTTCACCACTGGGCCAAATGGCAGTATGACGATAGATGGTGAAGAGATTGAAATTTTAACGTTTGCTTGGCTCCACAGTCAACACTCTTAGCACCAGCAGCCAGGAAATTAAAATATGTATCGCGATGGGAAAGTCTGCTGTTAGGGACCTCTCCAAAGTACTGAAGAGCAACGGTGTCTCTCTGGATACAGGCCATGGTCTTTGCAATCACTTGCTATATGTCAGAGAACTGAACAATGACTATGGATGACACAAGGAAAACCGATGCATTTTGAGCTGTGGTGCTGGAGAAGAGTATTGAATATACCATGGACTGCTAAGAAAATGAACAGGTTCATCTGAGAGATGGTTAAACCAGGCTGCTCCTTGAAGGCAAGGATTCAGAATCTTCATGTGACATACTTTGGGCATGTTGCAAGGAGGGACCAGTCCTTGGAGAAGGACGTCATGCTTGGGAGTGTGGAGGGACAGCACAGGAGAGGAAGACCCCTCAGTGAGGTGGACTGATTCAGTGACTGGGGTAATCGGAGTAGGTGTGTCAGAGACAGTGAGATTGGCACAGGTGAAAGCAAGACTTAGGGCTGTTATACTTGGGGGTCGCTATGAGTCGCAGGCAACTCGACGGCACATAATAACAACTACTTATGCTTTAGGGACCAAACTAATGTTTCTTATCTTTTTTAATAGGTTAGGGAGTGTTTTTCACCTTGTGAATAAAACTAGTGTGAGTCCCTATGCTGGAATGGGGCCAGCTACCACGTGCCAGGCTCTGAGGGAAACATTTCGACCTGCCCGGCTTTCTGTGGGCCGAACCTGGGACTCAAGTCCATGTCTTCCTCAATTTTCTACCATCTCTACCAGGGCATTTTTCAAAAGCTATTTGCTTTCATCTGAGGCCTGTCATCCGCTATTAAGGGACCTCAATGTCCTAGTCCTTCACTTTGAGCTCCCCCTGAACTAAGTCCACAGTCATCTTCTTTCCTTCAAGGAAGGGTTCAAAGCAAAAATGCCTGGACTATTCCTCTCCGATCTATAGTCCAACCCTTCTAAGAGGGCCTGAGGGGGACTGCAGAGTAATGGAGGTTTTAGGTTCAGAAGACAAGGCTTAGAGGTCCCCGATTCTGGCCAAGAAGACCAATGGCTGGGCAGCTGACCACTTTGAGGCATCAACGGGGATCAGGAATCAGGAACGATGCCAGCAGAACAGTCCCTGCCATGTTGGAGGGTGTGGTGATGGGGAAGTATTGAATTAGGAGAGGTGCTGACAGAAACCAAGCGCCCCCACCCCAACCTCCCTGCAGCAGTTAGTTACCTCCCTCCTCTGAGCCGCGTGGGCTTCCTGCAGTTCCTTCATCTTCCTCTTCCACTCCATTTTCTGGAAAAGATGAAAAGTTGATCAAAGTCATTCCATCAAAGCATAGGATAAGGCTACAGAGATAAGACAAGCCCTGGTTCATGATAAGGCAAACAGCAGTGAGAAAGGACAGCCAGCTCACACGGCGTGAGGGGACATGGAAACGTAGTCATGGTGACATGGCTGGGGGGGCGTAAAGGAAGTGCTTCTCAGAGGCAAGAATGGTGACGCTTTGTCTTACTTGGTGTTAGATGCCATCCAGTCTAGCACGACTCATAGCAACCCTGTGAACAAAAGATCTGAATGAACCCTTCTCTATCCTGCGCCATCCTCACCCTTTCTGACACTCAAGAGCCCATTGCGGCAGTCCCCGTGTCGATCCACCTGGTTGAGGGTCTTCCTCTCCTTTGCCGACCCTCCACCCTTCCCAGCATCACGTCCTTCTCCAAGTAATAGCTCCTCTTAACATGCCCAAAGTATGTGAGGCAAAGTCTCATCATTCTTGCCTCCAAATAGCACTGCGGCTGCATCCTCTCCAAGACATATCTGCTTGTCCTCTTGGCCATCCATGGAAAGTTCAGTGCTCTTCTCCAACATCACCGCTCAAAGGTGTCAATTCTTCTTCTGTCATCTTTACTCACTGTCCAGCTCTCAAATGCATAGCTAGTAATTAGAAAGTCCATGGCCTGTATCAGACATGCCTTAGTCTTCAAACTGACATCACTACTCCTCAATAATTTGGAACTCTCACTTACTTTGGGCATATTCCCAGGAGGAACCAGTATTTGGGGGAAAACACCATGCTGCGGAAAGTGGAAGGCTGGAGTAAAAGAGGAAGACCTTCAACTAGATGGACTTGACTGTCACGATGGGTTTGGACATGAGAGGTCATGCAGGATAGGGCAAGGCTTAGATCTGCTGTCCATACACGATGAGTCAGAGTTAACTCAACAGCACCTAACAACAACAACACTGAAACAAGTCCTGACTGAGTGGGGTGACTACTGCTCCCAGAGGTTGACGATTTTAACATAAAATAGAAGATATACACACCTCAGCTCAGTGCAGCATTATTCACAACAGTAAAAACAGAAGAACAACCCATGTGTCCACCAATGGATGAACGGATCAACAAAAGGCAGCACGAACACACAATGGAACACTACAAGGCTATCGAGAATACTGAATACAGGCGAGCTCTGGTGGCCTAGTGGCAAGAAGCTGAACTGCAATCCCAGAGGTGTGCGGTTCGAATCCACCAGATGCTCTGCTGGAGGAGGGACAATCTCCTCCTGTACCAGTCAGATCAGATTTGATGGTATACACACACATATAAATAATAATAATAATAATAAACAGGAAAAACAAAACAAAAAAGAATACTGGATTCACACAATGTATGGATGAATCTGGAGCACATTGCGCTGAGTGAAATATGTCAGTAACAAAAGGAAAAATATGACCTACGTTTATTAAAAGACAAAAAATAAATGGTGCACGTTGTTGCTGTGTATCATAGAGTCAGAACCGACACAGAGCTGACCTTCCAGTGGTTTTTCAGAGGCGGTTAATCTCACGGGAGGAGATTGCCCTTCCTTTTCCCGTGAAGCAGATGGTAGCCTTGAACTGCGTGCCTTCAGGGTTGCAGCACAGCTTCTTGCCAGTAGGCCACCAGAGCTCCCCCAAGTTGTGCATAGAGAAATCAATATTCTTTAGTGGTTACCAGGAAGAGGGACAAAAGGAACGTGGCTTTTCAGACATTAAATCGAACCACACAGAGCCAATACCGACTCACAGGACTTCTCTACTCAGTTTCTGAGGCTGCAAGTCCTTATGGGAGGACACTGTCCACCCTCTCTCTCAGGGCAGCTGTTGGGATTCAAACTGCCAACCTCCTAGTTAGCAGTCAAATATTATACACTATGTCACCAGGAAGAGTGTAAGTGAGGTGGAGAAACTCAATTGTAGATTAATGGGGTCAGAGCAAAGAGAAATAATGAAAATCTTGATACAATGTGGAGAATGTTACAAAAGTCACTGATCTTTAAGTAAAGAAATTTAATCAGGAGCGTAATTTGTTTTATAAACTTTCACCAAACCATCATAAATTATTTTTTAAAGAAAACCTACTTTCACGGGAAATTACTTGGAAAAAAACTAAAAAAAAAAAAAAAGCAAAAGCAAAAAACCCACACCCAAAACTAAGGTCATTAAATCAGCAAACAAAAAAACACGGATTTTATTTTTCATTCATAAGGTAGGTAAGCCCACAAAGAGAACACAGATGATTCTGTAATTCTAATCCATAAAAACAATTTTTTTACAAACTCATGAGAAAGCGGTGGAAATCCTAAAAATGAAGGAAAATAGTTTAACCAAAACAAGTGAGTTCATGCCTTACACAAGGAAATCCACAATACAACAAGAAACGTAGGTCAATGATGGGAACACAATTCATGAACAACCACCTTTCCAAAATGTGGAACTTGTGAGACATCAAGCATTGGAAACACCTGATAGTCAGTAGCCCCACATTAAGCTCCCTTCTCGGCAAACTTGGGAACAGAAGCTGCAACATAATTCACTGGCTGTGCCCACGGTCCTTCCCTGTCACTGTGAAGAGTGAATCAGCCAGGGAAGTGTCCCGCACACAAATGAAGGCGGCTCAGTCATCCCGTGGAGACTGAAGCCACCATGCGTAAGAGCCACTCTATACACAGCGGTCGTGGACCGGCAGCTTGGAGTCCCCTCGGTGGGAATAGTTACACCATGGGAATTGGCAAATACTACAGCTCACCACTTTCTTCATTCTGCAACTGAACACATCCCAAATACTGTCCAGGTCACGGGACTCCCACACTCTCCAAGAGCTGACTGCATCAGAATGGGGGCCAAGGGGTCAAGCAGGAGGCTCAGTTATATGAGTTTTGAAGAAGACCCTGAGATGAAGCTGGTGTCCCGCATATGCACGGCAGAACTTCCCTAAACCGACACAGCAAAATGAAGAGGCGTGGCTGGACAAAAGCCTCTTGGCCACATCTGGGAAGACAAGCGCGGGGCGTCAGCTCACCTGCATCTCCATCTTCTCCCTCAGGGCCTGGAGCTCCTGTGACTGCCTGAGTCTCTCCTCAGATTCCTCGTCCCTCAGGGACCCAAGGTGGGACTCTTTCACCCCCTGGGACTGCAATGCCTGCAGTTTCTACAAAGACCAAGACACAGTTTATTTAGATGGACATCTGCTTCGGTTGCCCTGAGCTGTTTCAGAGCGCACACTTGAACCCGGGAGTCTCCAGTTCAATCTCCCTAACTGTTGTTGGTTGTTGTTGTTGTTGTTGTTGTTGTTGTTGTTGTTGTTAAGTGCCGTCGAGTCGCAGGCGACTCATGGCGACCCTATGAAGGAGAGTCCTCGACACTTGGGTGCCTTTCATCCTCTCTCCAGGTTCATAGGGTTTCCAGAGGCAAGCTATTACGGAAGTGGATGCCACTCCTCCTTCCAAGCTTGGTTTAATCGGGGAGCTCCACCCCACTCTCTGTCCGCCTTGGGTAGCCAACCATTAACGCATTTGACACAACAGTGTCACAGTGTTCAGCCTCACACCGTAAGTAACTACAGGCCTACAAAGGTATACACACACACACACACACACACACACACACACACAAGCACTCCCCTTTTCCTGAGATTCTGCACGCTGCAAACACCTAACGCATTTGACAGCTGACCACAGTTGGTGGGAGGGTCAAGTCCACGCAGAGAATAGAGACCTCAGAAGAAAAGATCCAGCAACTCACTTCTAAAAAATCAGTCCTTGGAAATCTTGTGTTTACTGTTGTTGTTAAGTGCCATCAAGTCAGCTTCAACTCACAACAAGCGTACGTGTAAGAGAACAGAGCCCGGCCCCAGCCTGTCCCCAGTCATCCCTCTAATCTCTGCTGTCTTTGAGCCCTGTGGTAGCTCACTGTGTCAATCTATCTCCTTGAGGGTCATCTTCTCTTCTGCTGGTGCCCTGCTGAGGCTCTTCTCCAGGGACTGGTCCCTCCTGGGAACATGTCCTAAGTATATGAGACAAAGTTTCTCCACGCTCGTCTCTAGGGAGCACTCCTCACGACCTCTTCCAAGGCAGATCCGACAGAGTACATATCTATTCTGACACACATGGGGTGACCAGGAGTTGGAACTGACTCTACAACAACTGCTTCTCCTTAGAGCTCAGATAAAACAGACTTCAGGGTCAAAACCAGCACAAGAAACAAAGAAGGATAGTATAGAATGCATAAAGGGTCAGTGGAGCAAGAGGACACCAAACGCAAGAGTTAGGTGTACAATACACAAGACAAACAGTCGTGAAGACAGAAATAGCCAACACCACAGCTATCCTTCTACTTGGAATCTAGAGATAAAGGAAGCAGACATAAGGCATAAACAGATGCACGCACACCCATGTTTACTGCAGCATTATTCACAGAAGCAAAGAGATGGAAGCAGCCCGAGTGCCCATCAACAAATGAAGGAATGGGTAGAGCCTAGTACATTCACACAAAGGAGTATTACACAGCACAGAAAAGCAATGAAGGTCTTGGCAAGCTCTGGCGACCTAGTGGCAAGAAGGTGCACTGCAATCCCATAGGTGTGCGGTTCGAATCCACCAGATGCTCTGCTGGAGCAGGAGGGTCAATCTCCTCCTGGACCAGTCAGATCTGATTTGATGGTATACACACACAAAAAAAAATATTTTTTTTAAAAAATGAAGCTCTCAAGAAGCCCTATACAATGTGAGTGAACCTGGATAATACGTTGGGTGAATTAACTCAGTTGCAAAGGGCTAGGTATAACATAAGTCCTCTTATAAAGTGAAGAAGACAACGGAGCAGTGGAGGTGGGAGAATGTGGGCAGGATGAGAACAGAGAGATAAGGAACACAGCATTGGAATGAGTAAAAGGAAGGTAATTCTAAAAATCATGGCAATTAGACATCATGAATAAAGCAACTAACAAGCTGATACAGGGCATTCATGCGGGAATGGAGGGGGTAAGACATGGGAAGATAAATCTGTATTAATGAGTGAATGAAAAGCCAATTTCTTGCAAACTCTCATTCAAATTACGTTTTTTTAAAGAGATGGGGAAATGAGATATGATCTCACCCCGGGGGAAAAAAGGGCAAAGTTCAACAAAACAGCAAATATTGGCAAGCCTGCAGAGAGATTGGAATTCTCATGCACTGATGGTGGGAGTGTAAAATGGTACGATCACTATGGAAGGCAGTCCGAGGTTTCCTCAAAAGATGGAAAAAAGAAATACCCTTTGATCCAGCTATTCTACTACTAGAATTAGACCCTGAAGAAATGAGGGAGGGGACACAAACAGATGTAGGCACACTCGTGTTTACTGCATTGTTTTTCACAAAAGCAAAGAGATAGAAGGAACCCATATATTCATTAAATGAATGTATGGTTAGAGAAACTATGGTACATTCACACAATGGAGTATTACTTGACATTGAAAAACTGAAGAACTTATAAAATACTACATGACATGGATGAGTCTAGAGGACATTATGCTGAGTGAAATACCTCAGTCACAAAAGGACAAATACTGGAAAAGGCCACTGTTATAAAAATAGGAGGGTTATCGGGGTGGGGGTGGCATGGAAATCAGGAAAAGACTGGATAAATAAGGAACACTGTATTGGAATGGGTGAAATAAAGGTCACTGTGAAATGAATGGACAATGATACATTATGAGTAATGCAATTAACAGTCTGGAATAAGACATGCATTACAGAATGGAAGGAGGGAGCAGGAGGAGATAGATAGATAGATAGATAGATAGATAGATAGATAGATAGATAGATAGATAGATAGACAGATAGATATATGCAAATGAAAAAGAAACAGTCCTCGCTATTCAACAGAAACTGTGCGCTATTTTACACTCCCACCAACAGTGAATCAGGGTTCCAGTTTCTCCACAACCTCGCCAGCATTTGTTGCTTGCTGTTCTGTTAAATTTTGCTATTTTG